CCATGTTGTTGCAAATGGCAAGATTTCATTCTTTTCTATGGCTGAGTAATATTCCATTGTATATATATATATATATATACCACATCTTCTTTATTCATTCATCTACGATACTTACATGGCTTCCATATCTTGGCTATTGTAAATAATGCTGCAATGAACATAGGGGTGCATATATCTTTTTGAATTAGTGTTTTTGTTTTGTTCAGATAAATACCCTAGAACCAAAATACTTATACATAAACTTAACAAACATGTATAGGATCTGTATGCTGAAAGCTACAAGCATTGGTGAAAGAAATTAAACAAGATCTAAATAGAGATATATCATGTTCATGACTTGTAACACACAATATCATGTATTAATCCTTCCCAATTTAATCTATAGACTCAATGTAACTCCAGTCAAAATCCCAGCAAACCTATGTACAGATATGACAAGCTTATTCTAAAATTAATATGGAAACACAAAAGATCTAGAATAGCCAAAACATTTTGAACAAGAAAAATAAAGTTGATGGTCTCACACTACCCAATTTCAAGACTTAGCATAAAGCTATAACGTTAAAGACAGTGTGGTATTGGTGAAGGCATGGACACATAGATCAATGGAATAAAATAGAGAGCACAGAAATAAACCCACACAAATATGGCCACATGGTTTTTGACATAGGTACAACGCCAATTCAGCGGTGAAAGGACAGTCTTTTTAATAAATGGTGCTGGACCATTTAAACATTCATACGCAAAAATACAAAACAACAATAACAACAAAAAGAATGGCAATCTATGCTTCACACTTGTGCAAAAATTAACTCAAAATGTCTTAAATAAACTTAAAATTCTAAATTCTTTAGTCTTAAATAAACTTAAAATTCTAAAACTTCTCAGAGAAAATCTTTGTGACTGGGTTAGGCAAAGAGTTTAAGTTTCATACCAAAATCACAATCCATAAAAGGAAAAATTGATAGACTGGACTTTTATTAAAACTGAAATCTTTTGCTTTGTGAAAGATACTCTTAAGAGAATGAACAGACAAGCCATACACTGGTAGAAAATATTTGCAAATCACATTTCTGACAAAGCATTTGTATCAGAATATATAGAGTTCTTTTTTTTTTGGTGAGGAAGATCAGCCCTCAACTAAGATCTGACGCCAATCCTACTCTTTTTTCTGAGGAAAACTGGCCCTGAGCCAACATCCGTGCCCATCTTCCTCTACTTTATATGGGACGCCACCACAGCATGGCTCAACAAGCAGTGCGTTGGTGCGTGCCCGAGATCCGAACCGGCAAACCCCGGGCTGCCACAGCGGAGCGCGTGCACTTAACCGCCTGCACCACTGGGCCAGCCCCAGAATATACAGAGTTCTTAAAAACCACCACAAGAAAATAAACAATCCAATTTAAAACTTGATAAAAGATCTGAACATGTATGTCACTAAAGCAGATACATGGCTAGCACATAAGCATGTGAAAACACGCACAACATTAGTTTACAGGGAAATGCAAATTAAAACCACCAGAAGGCCTTTATACCTCTATTAGAATGGGGAAACAAAACAAACATTAAAATAAGAAATACTGCTGTGGATGTGGATATTGAGAAATAAGAACTCTCACTCACTGCTGGTGAGATCGCAAAATAATACAGGCACTTTGGAAAACAATTTTACAATTTCTTATAAATTTAAACACTAACCATACAATCCAGCAATCCCACTCTTATGTATTTACCCAAGTGAATTGTAAATATATGTCAACACAAAAGCCTCAACACAATCATTCCTAATCACCAAAACAGGAAACAACTCAGATATCCCTCAACAGGTAATGGATAAGCAAACTGTGGAACATCTATAAATAAAATACCACTCAGTAATAAAAAGGAATGAACTAATGCCTCACACTACAATATGAATAAATCTTAAATGACTTTTGCTAAGTGAAAGAAGCCAAACCCTTATGCTGCATATTATGTCATTCCATCTATTTGATGTTATGAAAAAAGTTAAATTATAAGACAGAGAACAGATCAGTGGATGCCAGGGGTTGGGGGAGGAAGGGGGGTTGAGTAACAACCCGAGGTTGCCTGAGGGAATTTTTATGGTAACAGAACTGTCATGCCTGGTGCTGTGATGATGCATTTGTCAAGACCCACAGAGCTATACACCGCCAAGAGAGAACCTAACTCTATTCAAATAAAAACAAACAAACAAACAAAAAACAGAGTTGGATGGACTGCAGACTGTAATAAGTGACTCTGTTTTCACAAATGTATCATGTAACCCGAATGAAAATGGTGGGGGAAAAGGAGCTGACCTAAATAACTTTGTAAATCAACATTTTTACTGTATAAGACTGAAAACAAAAAGAACTGTACATAAACACTGTAGCCTAGTTGGTGAATGCTCAGAGGGGTTAGCAATTCTGAAACTATATGTACACTAGGGCTAAAAGAGTAGGTAAATAAATTATAGATAATGGCAGCCAGGTACCGCAGTGTCTAAGTATGAAGATAAAAATAAGCAAGGGGTGGGTGGGAAGGCTAGAATGAACCCTGGGTTAGAAAAGGAGATATCAGTGTGAATTCACATTAATTTTAATATATATGTATACATGTGTGTACATATATGTATACACAGATACAGAAATATAGATATTGTAATATAGATTACTAAAATGGACTAGTAAACATACATGTATTTCTTAGCTCTGCTGAGTCTAGAAACAGTTACACTCAGTATCAATAAGCACACCTAGAACTCAGATCTTCATTTCTCCAATAAAAGGAACCAAGGCTTCTTGGAAAATGGCTGATTCTAGGGCTGCGGCAGGGAAAATGCAAGATGAGCCTGGAGCACCTTGTGGTGTCAAAAAGTGAGAAAGTGCTTTAAAAAAAAAAATGTTAAGGATATGTTAAAAGGATCCAAAAGCTAACCTATGATAGCTCTCAATGCCCAAAGCTGGAACAATTTGAGCAACATAATAACATAATAGTATTGGATGAAATGAAAAGAGTGGAGGGGGAGGTTGACCTGAAAAAAGGACCAACAACATGAATTGATCTTAAGTGAATTTTGCTAAGTGAAAAAAGCCAAATCCAGGAGATACATATTGTATAATTCCATTTGACATTCTGAAAAGGGTAAAATTATAGAACAGAGAACAGTTCAGAGGGTGCCAAGGGTTGGGTGAGAAAGGTAGGGTTGAGTAACAATGGTTGGGCATAAAATAAATATCCGTGAGTCCATAGTGACATAAATAGATGACAGAATAAATAAATGGGGGAAATGAAACTTTCCACTTACAGAAGAATCCAATTAATAAATATAGAAGGAAGAAGTGAAATAGAAAATACCATTTAGAACACCACAATAATAATTGTTGCAGGCAAGGTCCACCAGTGACAGCTAAAATCACTGGTCAAAACTCTAAATAGATTCAATACTTTGCAAAGCCTCAAAGGGTCTCTCCTCAAATTTACTAATAAATGTGGTGGTTTTAAAATATGACCACAAATTCGAGATGAAGCTTATTTCCTCCCCCTGTGAGTGTGCAGTGGACTTAGTAACCCACCTTTAAGTGCAGATTAGAAACGGAAAAATCCTAACTACATACTGGAGAAACCTGTCAGATACCACCTTAACCAAGTAATCAAGGTTAACATGACAAGTCATGTTGATATCATGTGCCCCCTGATACTTAGGTAGGGCACATCCTTTCTGTGGTATTCTTTCTAAAAACTTATAACCTCAGCCCAATCAGGAGAAAATGTGTGACAAACTTAAATTCAGGGACATTCTTCAAAATATCTGACCACTATTCTTCAAATATCTGATGGTCATGAAAGACAAGGAAAGACCAAGAAACTGTTAACAGATTGGAGGAAACTAGAGAGACTGATATCTAAATGTACTGTGGTATCCTGGATTGGATCCTGGATCAGTAAACGGACATTAGTGGAGAAACTGATGAAGTCTAAATAAACTCTGTAGTTTAGTTAATAGAATTTTACCCGTGTTACTTTCTTAGCTTTGATAAATGTACCATGGTTCTATAGAATGTTAACATTAGGGGAAGCTGGGTGAAGGGTATAGGGGAACTGGGGAAGCTGGGTGAAGGGTATACGGGAACTATCTTTGCAACTCTTCTGTAAATCTAAAGTTATTAAAAAACAAGTTATAAAGTGATATTGACCAAAAAGAGTTCACCATATATTGTTTTGTTAAAAGTTTGCCATAAAATAATATGACATATGATCATACTGTGCTAAAAATGTCAGGAGGATGAGCACATAAAAGAATGTATATTTGGTTCCATGTAAAATATGGTTGGTTCCAGGAGTGTGCTTTCATCAAGCGTGGTATATGAACAGTTTCAAACATATGAAGTTTTTATTATTGCTTAATATCGAATTGCTAGCTTTTTTCCTCATTCCAGAAAATAACTAGGCTGGTTACAGTTATTATTTTCGTTTAGATAAATTACTTTCTCAACTGCTAAAAAATAAATTTATCTAAACTAAAATAACATCTGTCCACGTTCATAAATGAAATTCACGCACACATTCCCTTCTCTTGGTTTGTGTGAAAAGGCACACTGCTTGGATGCACATCTCTGGGGCACGGAAAGAAACCTGGCTGCAGGCAAAAGGACTGAGTATCTCAGTAATCTTTCAACGCAGTAAACAAGGCAGAAACTCTCCAGCTGATTTCTAAAGGAGTGGGCATGGTGTATACTGACAAGGGAAATCCCAAAAAATGCACAGGTATTAACAATTTACGTGCCAGACACCGTCCAAAGTGCTTTTATAATGTAAACACCTTTAATCTTTATAAAAACTGTTAATTAGGTACTACTATTACCTTACTTGCACAATTTACGAGTGAGGCATCGCTTCTAAGGGTAGAGCCACTTTCCCAGCCCAACTACCAGGAGCCAAGTTCCCGCTCGCCGCCGCTACCGCGCCGCTCCCTCCTTCTGCGCATGTGCATCCCCGCCTTCTCCTCCCGACCGCTCCTTCCCTGGCCTCCAGCCCCTCGTGGGAAACAATCCCTGGCCTGCCGGTCCACGCGGCGAGGGAGCTGCGGGTGAGCCCCGGAGGGGGGGGCGAGGGCCGAGGGGGCCGTCCGCAGCTCGAGGGTCTGGCGGAGGCGGCGATGCCCGGTGGTGCGTAGGGGCCCCGCGGACACCGGCGAGACCTAGGCGGCTGTGTCGCCTGCAGAGTTGAAGGGACGGCAGGCGGCAGCGTCTGTGTCTGAAGGGGCCGGCGTCGGAACGTGGGCTCTCAGGCTCGTTGGGTTCACAAGTGTCCAGCCCCTGCGCTGAGCGGGCGACACCGTCGTGTGGCCGCCGGTGGGGAGTGCGCGTGCGTGACGTCTGCGCTGGTCCCACGGGCGTGGGGTTTGGGGTGCGGGGAAGAGCGAGTACGCGTGCGCGACTCGCGTGCGCTTGGCGTAGTGACGTGTGCGCGTGATTCTTTTGCTCTGGGCTTACGGGGAGGGGGATGGTTGTGAAGGAGAATGAGTGCGCCGGGCTGGGGGTCCGATGTAAATGAACTGATCCCACCAAATAGCTGACGCGTGACTCGGTTACCGTTTTGGTAAAATGCGGGTGTCAAGAATACTTGCCGCATTGTGTTGTTCTGAGCACTCACATTTTGTTAGCTGCTATTGTATTTATTTGTTACGTATGTAATACATGCGGCCGGAGCTTGGCCAAGTCTCTAGGGCCTCCATTCCTCAGTTAACTCATTTGTGAGTAATGGAAGACGGTCGGAGCTGGACTAGCTAGCCACCAAGGCCCTTTCCTGGCTCTAACGTTAACCAGATCCCAGGTTATTATTTATTATGTATTCATTTGTTATTTGTTATGTATAACCATGACACAGTATCCTGAAGCCATCGAAGGCTGTGTGACGGTGGAAGGTCTGGGACAAATTTAAGAAGAGAGAGGTGAGCTGGAGCTGAGAGGGGTGGGCACGCAGGCTACGCAGGAAATGTCACCTCTTTGGAGAGTTTGTGAGGCCGTGGTCACGAATGAAAGGCTCACCAGCCATAGCTAAGGGAATTCTGTCATTACCCCTCCCTAAACACCCCCTTCTCCCGTCATTCTTCGTTCACTCTTTGCAGAGGTGAGCTGCCCTCAATGTCCCATTGTTGATGGCATTTAGAGAGATGCTGAGGTTCCCGTTCTCCTGGCCTTACAGATGCACAGGATGGTGGTGCAGGCGGGTCCTTTTTGAGTTATCCGTTTTGACCTTACTTGAAAGATTAAGAAAAAAATTGAGTCTGAGAAGGTGACTGGCTCGCGCAATTGGTTAGTGTCAGAACCAAGATTAGAAGTCAGGTCTGCAGATTCCTGGGCTACTGCCCGTTTTGTCACTGTTAGGTCAAAGTTAGTATGTTATTAAAAGATCATTTTGAAAATTGTAAGCAAGTTAGAACAAACATTTCAAAAAATGTATCTTGCCTTAAATACCCCCATCCCTTTTTTCAGAGGTTATCTGACCTCATAGGATTAAGGGTGTTAGCAGGTAAATAGATAAACAAGATGGCTTGAAGGGTTTTTTTTGCCCCCTACAACATAAGTTTTGACAAATCCATAGTGTTTCCTCCTTTAGATTACTGTTATATGTTAAACTCATCTTCTCATGTTTTTAATTTTTCTGTGTCACAGAACCTAAATTGGTAATAAATCAGTAAGAGACAAATGTTTACATTCACTCAGTGAAAAGTATCATGTCTAAGCTCAACATATATCGGAGCCACACATGGACATGTAAGTATCTTGTGTGTGGAGCTGTGTAGGCAGGTGAATCCAGGAACTGCAGAGCGGGCCAAGTGCTCCTGACTTCCTTCTTCCTTCTCCCTCAGCTCTCCTTCCTCCACTAAGAGCGGAAAATGAACAAAGCCCAGGTGAGTTTTTTGTTTATTTATTCCCACTTTGTTTTAAAATGGGTTTTCTAAAGTTTATAGGGGTTTATATTTTTGCAATGAAAAAGTAGAAATAGACAAAAATTTACATTAAGGTAAATGTAGTGAGAGTAGCGAGTCCAAAGTTGGGCACTTGGCAAAATTAGTTGCAGGAGTTTGAATTTCACAGATTTATACAAGTTATTGTAAAATTTTCTCTGATCTTTCTAATAACAACACTGAAATAAATACAATGTAGTGCCTGTAATCATTTCTTGGTGGAAACAGCACAGCACCAAAGCAGAACTCAGTGCACATACTTTTCAGGGGACCAATGAGGTTTGAGTAGATAGCTCTCTCATGGTCCTACTTGATCCAGGAATAAGACCTTGAAGATGCGGCAGAATGGAGGGACTGCATGTCCTCAAAATAACTCTCCAAAAATGTTTGTGTCAACTTGTTTGTATTTCTAGCTTAAGGAGCAGACAGTTCTGGCTTTTGTTTCTGCATTTCTCATTTGCATTTCAACCTAGTGAATGTAGCCTTGCTCCTTCACCACCACTCACCTGAATCAGTTCTGGAAAAGTCTTTGTCTTGACCCTTCTGCAGCATTTGATACTATTTTCCATATTCTCTTTGATTTGAGTCTCCTCTGTTGTTGTCCATGACACCACATCAATTGTGGATGTTCCATAGTTTATTAAACTAGTTATTAACTATTTCCAACGTTTTGCTACTACAAACTGTGTTTTAATGAATAACCTTGTATGTATAGGTTTATTCTATCAGATAAATTCCCAGAAGTGGGATTGCCAGGTCAAAGGGTGAATACAATTGATATACTTCATCAGTTTGGTGGGATTATAGTATCATTTTGTATTCCTGTTGGTACTGTATGAGAGTGTTTGTTTCTCCACACTTCTCCCATAGAATCATGTGGTTCAACTTTTGGATTTTTGGCAACTGATAGGTAAAAAGTGGAATTTCATGTAGTTTGCATCTGCAATTTTCTTAACTCTTGAGTGAGGTTAAATATTTTTTCGTGTATCTAAAAGGAGTCTTTATTTATATTTCTGTAAACTATCTGTTCATGTCTTTTGCCCATTTTGCTCTCAGGTTTCTGGCTTTTTTTTTTCCAGTGTCTAGTTTGCTCTTTATATATTAAGGGTACTAATGCTTGTCTATGTCTACTTATGTGAGTTACAGACTATTATTTTCTGATATATCATTTGTCTTTTGATGATTGTTCATGGTGTTTTTCTCCCATACAGGTATTCTGTTTCAGGATACCACATTTCACTTAGTCGTTATATTTCTTTAGGCTCCCCTTGGCTGTGACAGTTTCTTAGACTTACCTTGTTTTTGATGACCTTGACAGTTTTGAGGAGTACAAAACAGGTGTTTTGTAGAATGTCCCTCAATTGGGAATTGTCTGCTGTTTTTCTCATGATTAGACTGGGGTTATCGGTTTCTTGGAGGAAGACCACAAAGGTAAAGTGTCATTTGGTCACATCATATCAAAAGTAAATGCTCTCAGCATGACTTAGCACATTTGGTGTATCACTGTTGATCACCTGGCTGAGCTGGTATGTCAAGTTTCTCCACTGTAAAGTTACTCTTTTTTTCTTCTATTTTCATACTATACTCTGTGGAGTATACCTCGTTCGTGGTAGAGTATCTACGTAAATTATTAGGTATTCCGCACAGAAGATTTGTCTGTTCTCTCCCATTTATTTATTTGATTATTTATATCAGTATGAGCTGATGGCTAGTTATTTTGTACTTTGGTTATAGTCTAATACTACCTTGTTCATTTGCTGCTTAAATTGTTCCAGGTGGTTATTAAGAGCACTTTTAATTGGTTCCTGTGTCCTTTTGACATACCTCATTATTTTGTTTTTGTTTAAGTACTTCTTCCTTACTTTCTGGTACTAGGAGATATTCCAGGCCCATCTTAAGTATTCCCTGCTTTAGAACTAGCCATTTTTTCCTGAAGAGCTCTTGGTCCTTTTATTGGAGCATGGTTTTAGAAACCAAGATTGGGGGGCTGGGTGTGCCTGTTGCTACTGGTGTGTCATTGCTTGTAGACCCTCTCAGCTGACTGAACAAGGAAATACATGTGTATACTAATTCATGTACTTACTTACACATATCTATAAATATTTCAGTATGCAACCATGTGTATCTATATTAAGCTAAGTATTAGTTCACACTGATGTCTCCTGCTGTAATCATTACCACATGGAACATTCTAGCTTTCTCCTCTTGCTTGTTTGTAATCTCCCACTCTAACAATGAGAATCTGGCTACCACTGTCTGCATTTCATTTACTTAATTGTTCAATTTCAGCATGTATAAGTGATTTCAGAATTGTTAACCCGTGGATTCTTGGTTCCTTCCAGTTTTTTGCCATTATGAATTAAGCTGCTAGAAACATTCATATGTAGGTTTTTGTGTGGACATAAGTTTTCAAACACGTAGGGTGTGAAATTGCTGGATCATGTGTTAAGACTATGTTTAGTTTTGCAAGAAAATGCCAAACTGCGTTACAAAGATGCTGTATCATATTGCATTCCTACCAGCTAGGAATCAGAATTCCTGTTGTTTTGCATCTGGAACTGAAATTGATATTGTCATTGTTTTGGATTTAACTATTCTAATGTGTCATGGTATCTCATTTTTGTTTTAATTTGCATTTCCTTAATGACAGATGATGTTGAGCATTTGTTCATAAGTTTGTTTGCTATCCGCATATCTTTGGTGACATGTTTTTTAAGATCTTTTGCCCATTTTTCAATTGAGTTATTTGTTTTCTTATTATTGACTTTTTAAGAGTTCTTTTGTATATTTTGGGTGCAGTGCCCTTTATTATATATGTGTTGCAAATATTTTCTCCCAGTCTATGGCTTGTCCTTTCATTTTCTTAGAAATATCTTTTGTAGAACAGAAGATTTTATTTTTAAGAAAATCCAACCCATGTATTTTTTTTTTCATGGAATGTGCTTTTTCCATTGTATCTAAAAATGCATCACCAAATCCAAGGTCATATAGATTTTCTATGTTCTATGGGCTATATTTTATTCTAGAAATTTTATAGTTTTGCATTTTACATTTAGGTCTATGATTTATTTTTAGTTAATATTTGTGTAAGGTGTAAGGTTTGTGTCTAGGTTCATTTTTTTGCATGGATGTCCACTTGTTCAAACACCATTTTTTGAAAGATTATCTTTTCTCCATTTAATTGCCTTTGTGCTTTTGTCAAAAATCGGTTGACTGTATTTCAGTGGATCTATTCCTGGACCCTCTATTTTTTTCCATTGATCTATGTGTCCCTTTCACCAATAATGCACTGTCTTGGTTACTTGTAGCTTTATAGTAAGTCTTGAAATCAGGTAATGTGAATCCTCTTTTTTCTTCCACATTATGTTGGCTATTCTAGGTTTTTTACCTTGCCGAATAAACTTCAGAATCATTTCATCAGTATCTACAAAATAGCTGGGATTTTTATTTGAATTGCACTGAATTTATAGATTAAGTTGGAAAGAATTGACATCTTAACAGTATTGATTCTTCTGATTGACAAATATGGACTATCTCTTCATTTATTTAGATCTTTGATTTCTTCCATCAGTTTTTCTGTTTTTCTCCTTATCCCTGTAATATATTGTGTAGATTTATACTTGAGATGTTTTTCTTTTTGGTGCTGTTGTAAATGGTATTTTTTCATTCAAAAATTTGAAATTCCAATAGTTTATTCTGATATAGTAGCCCCCCCATCCGTGATTTCACTTTCCGTGGTTTCAGTTACCCGTGGTCAACAGCGATTTGAAAATATTAAATGGAAAATGCCTGGAATAAATAATTCGTAAGTTTTAAATTCCATGCTGTTCTGAGTAGTGTGATGAGATCTTGTGCCATTCTGCTCCATCCCACCTGGGATATGAATCACCCCTTTGTCCAGTATATCCACACTGTATACTCTACCCACCTGTTAGTCACTTAGTAGTTGTCTAGGTTATCAGATCGACTGTCCCAGTATTGCAGTACTTGTGTTCAAGTAACCCTTATTTTATTTAATAATGGCCTCAAAGCGCAAGAGTAGTAATGCTGGCAATTTGGAGATGCCGAAGAGGAGATAATGTTGTTAATCTCTTACTGTGCCTAATTTATAAATGAAACTTTATCATAGGTATGTGTGTATAGGAGAAAAACATAGTATATGTAGGGTTCGGTTTTATCTGCTGTTTCAGGCATCCACTGGGCTATTGGAACATATCCCCCACAGATAAGGGGGGTACTACTGTGTAGGAAAACAGCTGAGTTTTTTATATTGACCTTGTATCCTATGATGTTGCTGTATTTGCTTATTCCTTCCAGGAGGTATTTTTTTCCTTTTTGTAGATTCTGTGTGATTTTTCTACATAGACAATCATGTTGACTTTGAATAAAGACAGTTTTACTTTTCCTTTCTAATCGTATACCTTTTATTTCTATTTTTGTTTGTTTTTAGTCTTATTGCACTAGCTAGGACTTCCAGTACAAAGTTGAATGAGAGTATTGAGACAGGAGATCCTTGCTCTGTTCTGTGCTTAGGGGAAAAGTGTCCAGTTTCTTAACATTAAATATGATGTTAGCTGTAGGGTTTTTGTAAATGGTCTTTATCAAGCTGAGAAAATTCCCTTCTATTCCTAGTTTGCTGAGAGTTTTTATCATAAATAGCTGTTGGATTTTGTCAAATGCTTTTTCTTCATCAATTGATGTGGTCATGTAATTTTTCTTTTTTGGCATGTTGATGTGCTGAATTAAATTGATTGATTTTTTTTAAATATCGACCCATCCTTCGATGCCTGGAGTAAATTCCACTTGGTTGTGGTTTATAATTCTTTTTATACATTGTCAGATTTGATTTGCCAATATTTGAGGATTTTTGCATCTATGTTAACGAGGGATATTGGTCTTTAGTTTTCTCACAGTGTCTTTATCTGATTTTGGTATTAGGGTAATGTTGGCCTCATCTAATGAGTTTGAAAGTGTTATTTACTGGAGGAGATTGTGGAGAATTGGTATTATTTTTTCCTTGAATCTTTAATAGATTTCACCAGTGACACCATCTGGGCTTGGTGCTTTCTATTTTGGAAGTGTTTTAATTATTGATTTAATTTTTTTTAACAAATATAAGTCTATTTACATTATCTAGTTCTCCTTGTGTGATTTTGGTAGCTGTATCTTTTAAGGAATTTGTTCATTTCATCTAAGTTATCAATTTTTCAGGAATAGAATTGTAGTATTCTCTTATTATTCTTTTAATGTCTTTAGGATCAGTATTGTTGACCTATCTTTCATTTCGGAGATTTGCGATTTGTTTCTTTTCTGTTTTTTCTTGGTTAGCTAGTCTTGAGGTTTATTAATTTTATTGAACTTTTCAAAGAAGCAGCTTTTGGTTTCATTGATTTTTTTTTCTATTTTTTTCATGTATTCGATTTCATTGATTTATTCTAATTTGTATTATTTCCTTTCTTTTGCTTACTTTAGGCTTAATTTGGCTTTTTCTCTAAGTTTACTAAGATGGAAGCGTAGGTTACTGATTTTAAATCTTTCTTTTCTGCTATATACATTTTTTTTTTTATAATTTTATTTATTTATTTTTTCCCCCAAAGCCCCAGTAGATAATTGTATGTCATTGCCGCACATCCTTCTAGTTGCTGTGTGTGGGACGCGGCCTCAGCATGGCCGGAGAAGCGGTGGGTCGGTGCGTGCCCGGGATCCGAACCCCTGGCCGCCAGCAGCGGAGTGCACACACTTAACCGCTAAGCCACGGGGCCGGCCCACTGCTATATACATTTGATGCTATAAATTTCCTTCTCTGCACTGCTTTCTCTGCATCCCACAAATTTTGATGTGGTATTTTCATTTTTATTTCATTTAAAATATTTTTAAAAATTTTTTTGAGACTTCCTCTTTGACCTGTAGATTATTTGTAAGTGTGTTGTTTAATTTTCAAGTATTTGGGGGATTTTCCAGCTATCTCTTGCTTACTGATTTCTATTTAATCCCATTGTGGTCTGAGAACATATTTTGTATGATAGCTATTGTTTTAAATTTATTAAGGTGTGTTTTGTGGCCTAGATGATGGTCTATTTTGGTGAATGTTCCATGTGAGCTAGAATAGAATGATAGAATGTGTATTGTATTGTTTTGGATGGAGTAGTCTATAAATGTCAGTTAGATCATGTTGATTGATAGTGCTGTTCAGGTCATCTATATATGTACTGATTTTCTGTCTGCTTGATCTCTCAATACTGACAGAGGGGTGTTGAAGTCTCCAACTATGATTATAGATTTGTCTGTTTCTCCTTTCAGTTCTATCAGTTTTTGCCATAGGTATTTTGATACTCTTTTGTTAGATGTATACATGTTTCAGATTGTGTCTTCTTTCTCTAAATGATTTTGAATCCATTTAATGAGTTCTTAATTTCAGATATTGTATTTTTTCAGTTCTAGAATGCCCATTTTATGCCTGTGTGTACATGTATGTGTACGCATATGTATCAGAGGTCCCCAAGACCATCCCCAGGTTCAGTGATTCACTAAGATAACCCAGCATGTAGTTGTATTTATAGCTGTGACTTATTACAGTGAAAGGATACAAAGCACAATCAGCAAAGGAAAAAGGCACATGGGGCATAGTCCAGATGAAACCATGTACAAGCTTCTAAGTGTCTTCTCCCAGGACATGCTTAAGTCCTCTAGCAATGAGATGTGACAACAAATGTAAAATGTCTGCCAGGGAAGCTCAGTAGACACTCAGTGCTCAGAGTTTTTATCAGAGACTAGTCACATAGGTACTTTCTGCTTAGCGCATAACAAAATTCCAAACTCCAGAAGGAATGCACGTGTGCAGCATAAACCATATTGTTTACACAAATAGTTTAGGCTCAATGAACCATTCTTATCAGGGAATGATGAGAACCCTCTTGAAGTCCAAGTTCCCAGATGCCAGGCAAGGGACACCCTTGTAGCAGACCTTTCAAAGGATAGCAGTCTCACGGCTGCTCTATTAATTCTTTTCTGCACAACACACATGCCATATATCTGTTGGACTTCTCCCATCTTTTCACTTATTTTGTTTATGTTTTCCTCTTATGGAACATATTAATCATAATTAATTTTGAAGTTCTTGTTTATTAATTCCAATATCTAGATCCCCTGCGAGTCTGCTCTTATTGTCAATGTTTTTCTTGGTCCTTGTCTCTTCACATAACATGAAATTTTTTATTGGATGCCAAACATTGTATTTAATAAGTGTGAAATTGGTAGATGCTCCAGAAAATGATCTCTTTTAGCAGAGAGGATTCATCTTTTTCTCTGGTGGGCAGGTAGATTGCAGGGCTGGTCACGTTACTCAGTCGTGGGTTGAGCTTGGTCAGGGCCTGTATCATATTCATTTTAATCTCCCTCTTAATTTTAACAACTGAAAGTTTCACGTCTTCAGTGGAAGTTAATTTGATAATATAAAAGATAGTATGACAGAACTAACTTTTCATTGGTAATCCCAGTCTACTTTGTGTGTGCTGCTAGCTCACGCAATGTCTGATTTAATAAATGTTAGTATGTATGTCTCCTTATCAGGTCATAAGCCCTTTGAGAACAGGAACTGTGTTTATTTGTTTTCATCAATAGTATTTGTAGCAACTAGGACAGTTCCAGGCCCTTAGTGAAAACTCAATTTGTACAAGATATTTCTTTTATCCTACACAGTGTAGCACAAAAGAAGGCAATCTTATATGTCAATTTTTTGTAAACTCTAAAGAGATTAGTTCTTTTAAATCTTTACCACATCATATAGTTCTGACGTCTTTATATAGAAAAGGAATATACCGTTACAGGAACAAGTGTCATTCAAAGATGTATGTGTGGACTTCACCCAGGAAGAGTGGTGTTTGCTGGATCCTGCTCAGAAGATATTATACAGAGATGTGATCCTGGAAAATTATAGCCACCTTGTCTCAGTAGGTAAGAATGTTTTTCCATATGATTACCAGTAGCATGCCTTTCTTAGTTGATGAAACACATGAACTCCCTGTGGAATTTTCTGATTTGAAGCTTGAGATTGAAGGCTCTGAGATGACCGATCGCTTTTGGCCACCATAAAAAAATATGTTCTTACTTCCTCAGGGATTGGTTCATTTGCATACCTCCTTTGGACAGCTCCTGAAGCTATACCTTTCTTCCCCGTCATTTTTTCAGAGTCGCCGAAGAAAGGCTGTATTATTTTCTCTTAACAGGATATTGCATTTCTAAGCCAGAAGTAATTTTCAAGATAGAGCAAGGAGAAGAGCCCTGGACATTAGAGGAAGGATTTCCAAACCAGTGTCGCCCAGGTGAGTTAGTGAGTTCACAGGCAGATGCAAGCCAGAGGAAATGAGATCTTAAGCCATTGGTTTAGGGTTTATCACCTTTGAAATATTTTTCAGAAATTTTTTTTTAGCCCCAGACTTTGGGAAGTAACTAAGGACAGTTGGCTCACATCCCTCCATTACCTTAATCACATTCCTCCATGTCACTTTTACTCATAAATACTTTCCTTTGTTCTTTGACATTTTAGGGTGATTTACCTATACCCATAATCCAAACTCAGTTGGCTTCATCTTAGATAATTTTAAAAGAGAAACTAGCCAAGGAAGATTATTCACTTTCCCTCTATTATCTTTGGATACCTTTTGTTAGCTGGTAGGTATTCATGCAATAATTTCAGATATTTATTTAAAAAATATATGATGAACACTCATTATGACCCAGTTATGTTTTTAGGTAATTAAAAGAATAATATCCCTGTTATCATAGAATGTTTATTACAGTGAGGGACAAAGAGCATACGTGTGTTTGCATGCGTAGATATATGTGCATGTATACACACACACAATGTTGGGTAGTAGTAAGTACTGTGAAGGTAGTAAATACTGTTAAGCAGTAGAAAGGGAGATAGAGAATGATGGCCTGGGCTGTTTGGTAAGGAAGTCAGAGGAAACCTTTTTGAATAGGTCCACAATAGAGATGAGACTAATAAAATGAGAGTGAGCTTTGTGGATTCTGAGTATTTCAGGCAGAGGGAACATCAGGTGTTGAACTTCTCAGACAGTGTATTCTTAAAGTTTTTGAAGAATGGCAAGGATGTCATTGTGGCTGGAGGTGCATGGGCATGGGGGAGATTGGTACGAGATGATGTCATAGGAAGTAACGTGGACCATGGGTAGATACATTAATTTTGTTTTGAGTGATATGAGAAATCCTTGTTTTCTTTTTTGAGTAAATGTAAATCAAATTAAATTATCAGATCTGATTTACAGTTTAAAAGGATCTCTCTGACTTCTTTGCAGTGAATACACTGTGGTGGGTGAGTGGTACTTAGGCATGAGTATGGAAGAAATACCAGTTAGGGGACTATTATGTACTCCAGAGGAGAGAGGACAGTGGCTAAGGCTATGTGGGAAGTGCTGAGAAGCGGTAGATTTGTAAATATATCTTGAAGATGAGACCAAGAGCACTTGCTGTGGATTAGATATAGAGTGTAAGAGAAAGAGAGGAGTCAAGCATGACTCCAATGATTTGTCTTAAGCAACTGGATAAATTAGGGTACCATTTACTGGGATAGAGAAAATTAGGGAGGAGAGATTATAGGGGAGTTATTACAAATTTAAATTTAGACATGAGAAGCTCGAGATAACTGTTAGAATCTAGTCTGTGTATTGAATAGGAGGTTGGATATATAGAAGTATGAAGTACATGGTTGAGGCCAGAACTAGAAGTATCCATTTGAAAGCCGTCAGCTCTAGGTGATGTTAAAGGCATGGGGCTAGATGAGACCTTCTAGATCAGAGATGGGCAAACATTTTTGTGAACGACCAGATAGTAAATATTTTGGGCTTAGTGGACCACATGTGGCCTCACTTGTTGTTACTGTTGCCCCTCCTCCTCTTACCTCTTTCTCTTCTTCTTTCTCCTCCTCTGTCTTCCTCCTCACTCCTCCCTTCTGCCTCTTCCATCTTTTTCCCTCTAAAAACATAAAAAACATTCTTAGTTGAAGGACCATTGCCTTGCAGTCATAGTTTGCTGACCCCTTTTCTAGAGAGTGGTTGTTTGTGAGAGAAGTAGTCCTGGGATGATACCACTTTTACAAAGTGTGTAAATCTATTAAATCTCATCATTAGAGGAGATGGAGAAGGAACAGTCTGAGTGACATGAAGACCAGAGAGCCTGGTTTCCCAAGAGTCTAATACGGAACATTCTACCATCCTATTGCTACCTTAAATGGCAACCATGGGGTCACTGTACTCAACTATTGTCCTCTTTAACTAGTCTCTTCATACTTCTGTTCTTCTCCTTTTGAAACCTTCTTCTGCATCTCTTCATTTTCTCACTTTTCGTTGCTATCACTCAAAACCAGTCTGTGTTCTGTCATTCCTGGCTTGATCTAATTCCTAATTGGTTCTTATTTTTTACCTAAAGTATCTAATTTATCTTTCACTAGCCTGACAAAGTTGCTCTTTATTAATAAATGAAATTAAATCTCCTTTTGTTGACTGTTACAATGTGGTCCTATTCTACCTATCTCAATTTCTTTCTTTCTGCTCCTCAGATTTTATACTAAATCCCATACTACATTATATGTTAAATTTCACTTATAAATGCTTTCTCTTTTATCTACAACTTTCTTTGTTTCTTATTTACTTTGCCCTTTCAGGTATTTAAATTAATTAGTATTATGCATGTACAGTGTTAGACTTTGTGTGGTATATAGTAATGGCTTGTTGTTACTATTTCACTTACTTTAAATTAGAGCTCAGTTTTTTTCTGTAACTTAAATGGTCCATCTTTTATTACCCCCCTAATCCACTAGTAGCTGTATCCCAAAAAACTCAGACCTGATCTTATGACTCTTGCTTAGGATTTCTTTCCTTATTGAGATTTTGTTTTCTCAAAGAGAAGGCCCTTTCTTATTCTTCCTAATTCTGATACTTTAATAATTGTTTTGTTGAGTAACTATGGAGCCAAGTTTAGAAGAGATCATTCTTTTTCATCCATTCAGAAAGCATTCTTTTTTTTTTTTAATTTCAATTCGTTTTGTTTTTGTTTTTTATAATTATTTATTTATTTATTTATTTTTCCCCCAAAGCCCCAGTAGATAGTTGTATGTCATAGTTGCACAACCTTCTAGTTGCTGTATGTGGGACGCGGCCTCAGCATGGCCAGAGAAGTGGTGCGTCGGTGCGCGCCCAGGATCCGAACCCGGGCCGCCAGCAGCGGAGCACGTGCACTTAACTGCTAAGCCAGGGGGCCGGCCCCAGAAAGCATTCTGTAGTACTTTTCCTAAATGCACGTTCCCTTATTTTTCTCCTGTATTACAGCTTATCAGGTACAGGTTGGAAATAATTCATATGCGTGTTGCCTTTTAAGAATCATTAATGTACTGTCTCCTCAATGAGGTCAGAGGAAGCAGGATTTTGGTAACATCTGCCAAGAGCTGGACTGTGGTCATGACAAAAGGTGTAGCATTTAGCAAGGGATTTATTTTACATTACAGTGAGTAATACCGACAGTAACTTCTACTAAAGGCAGCAAGTAGAGGCTGAAAATGGTAGGGATGTTGTAGAGTTTGTTGGCTTTTGTTCTTTTATTATTATTTTTGTGGTTTGTTGTTTTAAATTAAAGAAAGTAGCATTTCCTGAAGGATGTCCGGGTCCCAAGAAGAGCCGGAGTGCAGCTAATTAAGTGAAAGGTGTGTTGTTGGGAATGAGAAATTTATGAGACTCAGCTAGAGCTGCACAGAGATATTTTTGATGGACTTGTGGAATGCTGGTTTGAACACTTAATGTGAATCCAGTTGGTATAAAGTTTTTGTTTTGATTTGTTTTTGCCAGGATAGTAACTATTATCTTTTGGTCCTTGAGCGGGCTTAGGACTGTCATAGATTTTTTTTTTTTAACATGTGATTAACATTGTTGCATTGGGTAGCAACAGTGAAGTATAGCCAAGAATTTTTACGATAAAGTTGACTGAAGGTCTCAGAACCATATAAAGAAATGTGATCCTCACAAGTAAGTAAAAGCCACAGATGAGCCTAGATATAAAAGCAGAAAACCTTCATATAAAAGATAAACCTAGATATAAAAACAGACTTAAAGATTAGCATTGCCTCAGAAACAAAATTCTTTTGGGAAAAGTAAGCTAGCTGATTGAAGTGAAGAAACATATGACTTGATGGTCAGGATAAATTCATTAACAGTTGTGAGAAAACAAAATGAAGCTGGTCCTTTTGCAGAGATGGCCTGCCCCTCATCTATTTTGTATTTCCTGTTGGACATTTGCGTTGTTGTGAATCACAGCTAGATAGAGAGTTAGAGTCTAAGATAAAGCAGTGTCCCTTAAAACATGAGGAAATAGGTGCTTTCAGAAGTTTATTTTCATGTTGATATATCAAATGGGAAAAAAAGGAATGCCAACTTGCATATTATTGAGGATCCTACCACATTAATCAAACTGTGAGAAGATAAGGGCATAAACCCTGATCTGTCTCTGATAAACCAAATTCATTCTCTAATATGTTTCTCAAACAGTTTTCCTTTTTTTAAAAATCTCACTTGTTGAACTCATTCAGTTCTCTGAGTTTCCTGCTCCCTCAAATAACAACTCTCAGAAAATCTCCATCCCTTGCTCACTATGTCTTGAGTTTATTTCACCTTTATCCTGCCTCTGTTACAACATTTAAAAAAATAATTATTCCTTGTGAAATAAATTAAATGAAAAACTAGATCCTGGGCTATAGGACTATTCTTTTGAACCCGAGGAAGTTGGTGTTTTCAGAACTTCAGTTTGATGTTTCTGTGTAGAGTGGAAGCATATACTCTAGTAGGAACCCTACCCCAGTAATCAGTGTATGAGGGGACTAGGACTCAGTGCTGGTCTGTCTCCCCCAAACATAGTTCATCCTCTGAAAGCCCTTGTCTGCTAATCTTCACTGTCACTTTATTCAGTGTTTAATGTCTCTCCTGGGCTCACCCATTCTGTGAGTTTCCCTGTTTCTGAATCAGCCACTCCCCAGTTCCCTGTGCTTTGAATTTTATTTTACCTTTTTCTGTCCAGTTTTGAAGGTTATATTTATAATGTGTTAAATATCATTGCCAGTTTCCTTTCTCTGCTTCCACTGCAGCCTGTATTTATTTTGCATTCAAACCAGAAGGGTAAAGGAAATGTATAGTTGGATTTAGTTCACACCAGGAAACAGAGCCTAAAACAAAAGAATTGACTATATAATAGGGCATTTGTGTAAAAGTCCAATTCCATTAAAAATGTATTAGGATTCATAAGATGTGGTTATTTTTCTCATTTCTAGAAGACTGGAAAGTTGATGACCTGATAGAGAGCAGCCAGGAAAATCAAGATGAACATTTTTGGCAACTTGCTTTCACCACCAACAAAACATTAAGTACAGATAGTGGTGATAGAGTAAGGAAAAGTTTCAATCTGGGTACAGACTCTGTTCCATCAAGAAATTTTCCACATAAGTTATGTGACTCATGTGAAATGAGTTTGAAAAATATTTCAGGCTTAATTATTAGTAGAAAGAACTATTCTGGAAAGAAGCCTGAAGAGTTTAATGTATATGAGAAGTTGCATCTTGATATTAGGCATGAGAAAATTCCTACTGGAGGGAAATCTTACAAATATAATCAAAAAAGGAATGTCCTCAGTCATAGCCAGGCTCTCTCTCAGTCAATTTTTCACCAGCCTTTTGAGTATAATGAAAATGGACAAGGCTTCCATGAGGAGGCAGCCTTTTTCACAAACAAGAGAACTCAGATAGGAGAGACACTCTGTAAATATAATGAGTGTGGAAGAACCTTCATCCAAAGTTTAAAGCTCAATTTGTCTCAGAGAACTCATTTGGAAATGGAGCCATATGAATGCAGTATTTGTGGGAAGTCTTTCTATATGGATTTAAGATTGGGACATCAGAGAGCTCTTACAGGGGAGAATCCTTATGAATATAATGGATATGGGCAAATCTTCTGTGACAATTCAACTTTCATTATCCATCAGGGAACTTACACAAGAAAGATTCCCCATGAATATAAAGTAAGTCACAAAATGTGGGAAAAGTCAGCCCTCTTTAAACATCAGGTAGTACACTTGGGGGAGAAACCTTATGAGCATAATGAAAATGGAAGTAACTTCAACAAGAAATCACATCTCACGCAGCTTCGAAGAGGTCACTCAGGAGAAAAAACCTTTGAATGTGGTGAATGTGGGAAAACATTCTGGGAGAAGTCAAACCTCACTCAACATCAGAGAACACACACAGGAGAGAAACCCTATGAATGTACTGAATGTGGGAAATCCTTTTGTCAGAAACCACATCTTACGAACCATCAGCGAACACATACAGGAGAAAAACCCTATGAATGTAAGCAATGTGGAAAAACGTTCTGTGTGAAGTCAAACCTCACTGAACATCAGAGAACACACACAGGGGAGAAACCCTATGAATGCAATGCATGTGGAAAATCCTTCTGTCACAGGTCAGCCCTAACTGTACATCAGAGAACACACACAGGAGAGAAACCCTTTATATGTAATGAATGTGGGAAATCCTTCTGTGTGAAGTCAAACCTCATTGTACATCAAAGAACTCACACAGGGGAGAAACCCTATAAATGTAATGAGTGTGGGAAAACCTTCTGTGAGAAATCAGCTCTCACTAAACATCAAAGAACTCACACAGGGGAGAAACCCTATGAGTGTAATGGATGTGGGAAAACCTTTAGTCAGAGGTCAGTACTCACTAAACATCAGAGAATTCACACAAGGGTGAAAGCTCTTTCAGCATCCTGAATGTTCAAAAGCCTTCATCTACCCTTTCAAATTTGTTATACATAGTTTTAAAAAATGAGATTACTGAAACCCAAAGAATGCCACAAATGACTAGAAAGTGAATGTCTCATTGTACTTCAGATAATTAATACTAGAATAAAACCATATTAATGTTTTGAACATGTGAAAGCTTTCAAGAAAAATTAAAACTTTTCATCATAAAATTTGTGCTGAGGGAAAATTTATTCATTTAAGTAGTGGGGTAAAAATCTTTATCTAGGATTTATGTGGTGTAGTGGATATGATACCAAAATTTTATTGTAAATATAATGGATAATATTCCTTTATACCCATATTCACAGTGGAATCTGAAGCTTAAAAAAATGACAACAGCATTAAACATTTATGTGAAGAGTCCCTGATGTTTGCAGGCCTTATGTGAGTATGCTAATATAACAGAAATTTGAGGTATGCTTGATTTCTGTATTGGGGCCCAATATACTTGTGAAGAGAAAATATGAACCCTTAGTTAAATAACTATTATGGTCTATATTAATATTTCCCAAACTAAATACCACCAGTGTCTTTATAGGTTGACATAATTATATATGTATATATATGTATATGTATGTAAATATGTTCATACACACATACAGTGGTGTGCTAGCGTAAGCTCCTACTGGCTTCCAAGTACTGCTGATTGTTACATTTTCAGGAATTTTGTGAGCCAGTTGTTAAACATAGTCATTATTTAAAAATTATATAAACTTACAGTTAAATCGTATTAAAAACAAAGGTAGTAAATACTCAACAGTCATCACTTCCTAATTATTTTATGACATTTTGCTATTATCTTTGTTCTTTAGGTTACTTGTAGTATTGAACCTGCATGGTGAAAGTACTGTATAATGGTGTGCCACTGCACATCTGTTCCCAACTCTGCATTCAGTGCCATCATGCTGATAGCTTGGCTTTAGTGGGAGTATTTACACCATGGAAATTGGCAAACTCTACAAATCAGGGTTTTTATTTTTTCGGAGAACCTGTTGTCACATATTTTCAGTAGCACACCACTGTGTATATATGAAAATATATTTGGAAAATTTTAAGTACAAACTACATACCCCTTCTCCTATTTCCTGGCATAAATAAATGGTTATGGCCAGTTATTACTGAACTGTCTCGTCAGTAAAGAAGCCAAATATGTGTTATTGAGGTTTTTAACTACCTCTGCATCAGTCCTATTCTAAATATCACCAGAGTCTCTTTATAGTGTGGCCAGTATGTGTTATTTTACAACCACATCACCTACCTTTTCTCTGACTCAGCTGGCATATTTGAACAAGTATGGCCATTATTACTGAACTACCACTTCCATAAAAAAGCCAAACAATATTTTTCTGAGGTTTTTCAGCTATCTCTGGGTCAGTCAATAATGTAAATGCTGTTAGTAACAACGATATTTACATAAATTTTGCAAAGGTTAACATCAGTTATGAACAGTAATACTCACTGCACTCTACAAATAAGAAGTAGTAGTGTGTAATGAAATGCCTTTTCCATATGCTTGGTATTTCATTGCTGTATCTATTTAGGCATGATAGATGTAACCTGAGTTGTATGTAACCCAGGAACTATGTATTTATATTTAATTTAATAGAGTATCATATTCTGTCTCTGTCTCCTTTGTCCTACTGTGTCCTCTGCTTCTTTGGAACACATTGATAAGCAGTTCCAAGAGACACTGCCCACGCAACAGACATTCCCTACTACTTATGTGCTGGGCTCTGTTTTGTCTCTTTGTCTATCCTTCCCCCAGATGATTTAGGGGTAAATCCAGATTAGTCGAAGTTAGTCATGAAGATTCTATTCTACTGATTTTGTTGGGGTGGACACGTGAGCAGTGAGATGTTTGGAAAATATTCTGCAGTGCTTCTGGCAGCAATCTCAGTGATAAAATATTGTCATAACGTGAGAAGCAATTGTTTCTCTTCTGCTGGACTTTTTCGTGTCTGTATGTTATAGCAGATTATAGCTTGTGGCCCTGATGGGCAATAGCCTGAAGATAACAGTACACAAGATGGGAAAAGCCCGGCTCAGAGGTGGTGCCACTGAGCTGCACAGCTCTATCTGGACCTGCTCTCTACTGTGACTTTGTATTACTGTGTTAATAGTGGTTTCTTACTTATTCTTAGGGCTGTTATTTAGAGCTGAAGGCATTCCCTCGATACAGACTAATTCTTTTCTAAGTGTTAATGTTCTATATAGCAATTTTGGAAAAAAATTATTTCTTTTAACAAGTTAATATAGGGATGCCTATTTGTATCAGCCATGGTTCTAGTGAAAAACAGAATTCTGCTCCAACTAAGAAGATATTAATGGCAGACTTATTACAGTGGTTTGGTCCAGAAACAAGGAATATTGAAGCAACTAGAGACTAGCATCAGCAGGAAGCCATTACCGTTCTAAGTCCTAAAGGGGCAAAGGATGGAAACAGGTGTTACCAGAGCCCAATGAGAGCTGCCCTCATGAAGGAGGGACCACCTCGTACGAAACATAGTCACTACCAGAATTGTGGCACCAAATTGCTGGTGCCTCCCTTTGGAGAACGCAACCAGATGCCATCCACAGGTGAGCCCAGGTGGGCACAGCGAAGGCCTGGGTGGAGCCGATGGAGAATAAGCAGCACAGTGTTTTTATTCCTGTGTTAAAGGCTCAGTATTAGAAATAAAGTTATTCCACTGGTTGAAAGTTGTGTTTCTGCCTCATTGTACTTTTGTATCATCATGAGTAAATTCGTTTTGGAACTGGTGGCAGATATGTTTCTCCTTTGACATGCGTGAAGCAGACATCATGTTAAGTTGCATTTTTCGTATATCCTTCTGTGATGTTTCTTGTTATATGTGGTATGAGGTAAGCAGCTCTCTATTCTTCCAAATAAATAACCAGTTGTCCCTCCACTATTTGATTAATTTAACCTTTTTCTTGTTGGCTTGATATGGGATTTTTATCATGTACTTAAATATTATATAGTGGCTATTGCTTTTGTCTGCTCAATGTACCTTTTCTATGTTCTTCTAGTAATATATCCTGTCCTTGTGAGCACAGAGTTGGCATCTTCCTGTCCCCACATTTGTATTCATCCAGGAATGATCCTTTGTTACAAAATAGGCCTATGAGAACCCGTCCTAGAATATTTTTATTGAGAAGTCACCACGACCAGAGAGTTTGTCTCCTTGTTGCTGCCAGGAGCCATATCAAGAACATTTATCTGCAAGGGAGATGATGGTGATAAATGTCATAAAGAAAAAGAAAAATAGGAAAAGTTGTCCATAGGATGGTTTGAATTTAGTGTGGAGAGGGAAAGACCTCACTGGGAAGGCTACAGTGAAGAGAGTGAGCCATTTGGATTTCTGAAGGAAGAGTGTCTGTGTGTGTGTAATACATATACATGTATAACCAACAATTTTATATGTCTGTGATTTCATTTCATGAAACAACACTCTAATTACTTGTAATGTACTTTGATGTTTTATTTTTTATTGTCCTACATTCTGTTAAAAGAAGTACTTGTTCCCGTATAGTAGGCTGATTTCACAACCAACAAATGGGTTAGAGCTTGAAAACGGGTGCTCAAGTGTGTAAAAACAGGAGAGGAATTGCTGGGTCATAGGTGTGGCTTTCTGAAATGACTAAGCAGTTTACAATCTCAGTGCCTGGAAATTGTTTTCTCATAAACTCCCAAGAATCGGTTTCTTTGGAATTGGGACCATTTTCTGTCCAGAACTTGGCCTCCCCTTGCCTGGTATGTCCTGTCACTTTACATCCAGCCTGTACTTGGCAGGGGAAGGTGGAGCCTTAGCCTCTGGAAGGGTTCAACCCATGGGAATCCTAGATGCCCTCACCCACTACTCCTGCTTGTTGCCCCCCAGTCAGAGACTGCAGCTGTAGCTGTCCTGGACCTATCCCTTTTTCTCTTTTTCTGGGGAAAGCTTATCATTGAGTTTCTGTTATTTCCATTGAATCATCATCTGCCACTCAGTGACTGGACACTGCATAATCTTCAGCCTCCTTCCTTTTATCTGAGGAACTAAGCCTCCCTTTTCCCAGCCTGCCCCTCTTCTCAGACCTTATAACCCCAGGCTTCTCCTTCAGACAATGAGAAACTGTTGCCTACTCTTAGCACTTTTTAAGAGCAAGGTCCCCTCAGATATTTGGGGAGGTGGAGAAGTGATGCTTAATATCTTGCACGCCCTCCACCATGTCTGGAGTCCATAGTTGGGATTGTTGATCCTCTCTGGGCTCAGTTTCCTCATCTACAAAATGGTAGTTATCCCCATCTGAAAGAGTAGGCCTTAACTTGAGCTTACTTCCAGTAACACACGGGCCAAAAATTCTCGCTTGTCTGACCCCCCTAAAAGAAGGCCCAGTCCTCAGAGAATAACAGGGGAGTTCAGAACTCCTTGAACTCTATCCCCTAATGAAGGCATGCTCTGCTCCTGTGGTACTCTGATCACATTCCTTAAAACAGAAAAAGAACTTGGAGAAGCATGGCAGCCGTGACTGGTGCCCATGGAGGTGGTGAGACTTCTTAAGCTTTCCCCGGACTGGGTGCTCCTGTGCTGATGGTCCATACCAGGGCCCATACTGGGAGAAGAGGGTATAAATATTCTTTGGAATATAATAGATGAGAATTCTTCAACCCCTCCTCCCAATAGTTACCTCCCCTAAAATAACTATTGGTTTTTAGTTCAGCACATATCCTGGGCCTTTTGCCATGCGTTTCAATCCATATATATGTACCTATAGAGAATTTATAGTATACTAGAGTCTTAGTTTATGGGCATTTGAGTTTTGCAAATCAGAAATACTGTCAAAATATTAATAAAGTCCTTTATTAGATGCAAAATATAAATACCGTTTCCAAATCAAATTTTGTTGCCTGAAATTAGATAATTTTAAAGCAGCCATGCTGGATTTGCAAGCTGTATTTGTAAATTGCTACTAAAGAGAAATAAACCGTATCATTCTTAATAGTTTATGGATGAACAACTATTGCTATTAATGGTTTTGGAGTTTTTTCACATGATTTTTGCAGATAGTCTATGTTATTATAGTTAAAAACATTTTAGGGGCCGGCCCGGTGGCGCAAGTGGTTAAGTTTGCGCGCTCCACTGCAGCGGCCCGGGGTTCGCCGGTTCGGATCCCGGGCACGCACCAACGCACCGCTTGTCAGGCCATGCTGTGGCGGCGTCCCATATAAAGTGGAGGAAGATGGGCACGGATGTTAGCCCAGGGCCAGTCTTCCTCA